AAAGGTCTTAGCCTGGCGCTGAAAAACAAATAACGACGGCGCCAGGCTAAGACCTTTTTATTTAAAACTTATTTTAATTGTTAATTTATTATGTATTTATAGGATTTTAAATTTTTAGCCGAGATGTTACTGGGCTTTTTAATCTTTATTGTATTTAGTGTTATTTATATGTTTTTAATTATGTTGTGAGCCGCCCCAAGACTTTGTTGCGATGGGGGCGGCATAGAAATGTTTTAAATAAATAAATAAATGATATAGGTCTGTAATTTTGAATCTGTGTTAAGTCCATATCTTCTTTTGGTATTAATGTGATCCTTGCCTCTGTCCAAGTGTCTGGTATTTTAGCATTCAACAATGCTTCATTACATATATCTTTAAGAAATGTAGCAAAAACTCCCTCAAAAGATTTGTAAAAATCAGCTGGTAGCCCATCCGGACCAGGGGTTTTATCATTCTTTTGTTGCATGATTGCCTCTGTTATTTCCATAGTTGTTACTTCTTGATTCAATAATTTTCGATACTTTTCTGGTAGTTTTGGTAAGTCTCCCTTTCGAATGTATTCTTTTACCTTCTCGATCAAAATCTCCTCCTTCCGGTATAACCTTGCAAAAAAATCTTCAGCTATTTTCTTAATTTGTGTATTTTGTACCTGTAGTCGTCCTTCTCCGTCTTTCAGTTTCTAAATCAGTCTCTTCTCTCTTTCTTTTTTTACTTTATATGCTAGCCATCTCCCCGGTTTATTAGCATTTTCAAAAAAATTCTGTTTAGCCAGTTTCATTTGCTTAGTAAGTTCATTTGTATCCAAGCGATTCAATTTGTGCTTTAAAGTATTCATTTGGACCCTAAGGTTTCTTTTTGTTGGATCCTCCTGCAGTTCTTGTTCCCGTTTCCTCAGTTCTTCTCCTAATGTTGCTCGCTCTTGCTTTTTCTTTGTATTTATTTTTGCTGAGTAGGTTATTATCAGTCCCCTGACATAGGCTTTAGCTGTATCCCAGACATTCTGTAAAGAAGTTTCTTCCGCTTTGTTTATTTGAAAGAATATTTGCATTTCTTTGCTTATCTCTTCTGTAAATTTTTTATCTTTTAGTAACGCTTTATCTAGACTCCACCTGGGCGTCCTTGCGGCTCCTTTCAGTGATATAAATACAGGATTATGATCTGCCCAGACATTTGTCTCCATTTCAGCTTCTATCAAATCTGGAACTAAGTCTGGAGTTATCCAAACCGTATCAATTCAAGACCATGACCTATGTCTTTTTGAATAAAAAGAATAATGGCAGAAGTTGGGTTTTTATGCCTCCAGGCATCTATCCATCTGAGTTCTTCAGTCATGTTGGAACAAGACTTTGGAAGACTCCTCCTACCCGTTTTTCTCTTACTTTCGCTCTTGTGATCGATTTCCTTATTCACAATTGCATTAAAATCACCCATTACACCCACAGTCTGGTAGCCCCCTTGTAAGAGTAACGTATGTAGATTTTGGTAAAAAGTTTCCTGATGGTCATTTGGTGCATATATTGCCACTAAGAGCACCTTTTTAAGTTTAACTGTAATTTCTACCATCAAGATCCTACCATCCTCATCAGCAAGAATATATTAAGGGTCCAATTTTTCTTTAACATATAGTGCTAAACCTCTTTTCTTTTGCGATGCAGAAGATACGAACAATTTCCCCAGTTTTAAACATTCCAGAAGTTTAACACATTGTTTCTTAATATGTGTTTCTTGTAGACAAATTATATCTAACTTTCGTTTTTGAAGTTGAGCAAAAAACCTTCTTCTCTTAGATGGTCCATTTAGTCCATTAACATTTAAGGAGAACAATTCAAATTTCCCTTCCTTTTTAAGAGCCATATTTAATAAAATTATCTACTTATTCTTTGCCTTTACAGTTCTACCTTTTTTTTTCTCCTTTGAGTTTCTTTCTGAATGTCTCCAGTGTGGGAGAGCCCCCCACCTCTCCAGGCAGCTGGTCCCACTGCCGTGTTGCTCCGACAGTGAGGAAGCCTGAATCTGGGTTCTTGCAACTTGAACTGCTTATTCCGTGTCCTGCGCTCTGGCATCAGCAAGAAGAGATCTTGGCCTTCCTCTCTGTGACAGCCTTTGAGGTCCTTGCATAGGTACTTCCCGAGGCCCCAGCCTTGTTGGGAAGAGTGAGGGTGCGAGCTGTGCCGGCCCCTCTCAGATCCGTCAAGCAGCGCCGCTCTCAGGATGAGATTCCGCTGTTCTTTTTTGGAAAGAGGGATGCAGTGCCAGGAAATGCCCCGACTCCTACCTCGTGTTGGTGTCCCTAATACCATGCCGTTCGGAGGGGCCGAGACACCGCCCCTTCTGCCAGCGGGTTGGCTTATCCGGAACTGCTGTTCGCATTAGTGCTAGGAAGAGGCGTATCCCCGGCAGACCCAGGTCAGGGAGAATCGAGGTACAGGGAGAGGACAGGCATCCGCATTTGCTCGATCACCCCGGGGTCCGTGTGGGCGAGCTTTCTGTTCACACAGGCCAACCAGAGCCTGAGAGAGGCACACAGGTGAGTCGTCAGTGCAACTCCACCCTCCCACCCATGTTCCCCAGCAGCTGGTCGGCTGACTTCTGCTGGCTCAGCTACTGGAAGCCGGAGGTAGCCCTCAGGACTGGTAGCCAGCATGGCCTTTTCTTCCAAGACTCTGTCCAGACGCTTTTTAAACTGGACATCCGAACTGGTGTCCACTGCGCCTCACGGCCGTGAAGAGCAGGCTTCCCTTTCTCTCTCCTGCCAGCTTCACGCGGTGACTTGGCATTCTGGAGGGGAGCAAAGGCCTCCCCATCTGCCTTCTCCACCCGGCTTTCTCCGAGGACTGGGGCGGCCCCCAGAGCTGGTCGAGCGGCAGCAGGTGGGCAAAGCAGCTGGCCCGGGATCCGCTTCTCCAGGAGACGGGTCTCAGCACAGGAGCGTCGCTCCGCGGCCACTCCGGGCTTGTCCGCACGGATGCCCTGAAGGCGCGGCGGAGGTGTAGGGCTGAGCCCCGGGGGTGGTTATTGCGTGCTCGAGGTCCAGAGCCGAGTGGCAGAGCCACTGCCTTCTGCACTGATGCAGAAGGTCACGTTCGGTCCTGGCTTCTCCAGGAGGGCTGGGAAAGTCTCCTACCCAGAAGTGTGGGTCACAAAAGTGGCAGAAGAAGGCGGCCTCGGCTTCCCCCTCCCGCTGCGCCAGGTATTCCTCCTACCCAGGAGGCATTCTAGTGGTGGGGAGGGATAGCGCCCGTAAACCCACAAGCCTGGCCCACACGTGCGGCCAAGCCGCGGTGTGGTTTGCCAACATCTGGCTTGTCGTCGTGTCTGGATGCATCTCCCCCAGCAAACCATAGTTTGTCAATCAGTCACAAGCTATCAACGGAACCCCAGGCTGGCTGATGGCTGATAACATCTGGCTTGTTCGAACCAGGATAAGGACTTGAAACCCGGGCAGCCCCCGCTGCCGGTCAGTGTCAGCAGCACAGAGGGGGTGGAACTCGGTCTCAGGCGGCACCCGAGGTTCCGCTCAGGGGCTCTGTTTGTCTCCAGTCACCCATTGCGGGGTTTGCATGAGCATCGCCCCCAGAAGGGGATGGCAGTTTGGGGGAGATCTCTCTCTCCCTCTCTCTCTGCATGCAGCCCTGTTCACTCGTCCATGGAATGGAATGGGGGTAAGAATGTGTTTGGGGCAGAGAAGGGCTCAGCCCAGTTTCTCCTGCTTCTTCCTGCCTGCCGTCTTGCTTCCTTCCTGGGGCAGGAGAAGCTGGTGCCACCTTCCCCAGTAGCTGTCCTGGAACCCGGTTTGGCCGCGGGCAGCTCCCAAGCGGACCCCAGACAGCCAGGCAACACCAGGCTCCTCCCATTCTCCCAGCCATTCACACAGCTCCGGTTCATACGGATAAGAATCGTACTGGAGTATTTCCCAGGGGACTGAGCCTGGAAAGCCGCATTGCATGATCCACACAACTAGATTTCTCTGGAGGAGTGGAAAGGGAAACCACCAGCCTCCCAGCAGGGTTTGGACTCAGTGACCGCATTTCAACAGACCGCTGAGCCAAGGTTATATTAACCATGGTTTGTTGTTTTAGCCACGAACGGCTAAACAGACAAGCAAACAAATCACAGCTTGTTTTCTCTGTTTCCGGTTTGTTTCTCTCCTGCCTGTTTTGCCGGCCTGCAGAATGGTTTCATTCCAGGCAGCTTTTGTCTGGCCTTTTGTTTCAAGCCAAGCGATAGCAGCAGGTCGCCAGGGATAAGCCAGAGTTCTTGTCAGGCACCTTGACAAGCCATGGTTTAAACAAAATAGGCTTCACCAGCCAAAAGCAAACCCTGGTTTCCAGTTATGATTTGCAGCTGGTGAGCAAACCAGTTTTGCACGTGGGGCTGTGTTTCGATCCAGCACTAAGCCAGGTCTCAGCAAAGGCAGGGCAGCATGTGGCTGTTGGATTGCTGTCGCCACCCTGTTTTCAAAATGGCTCGTGGGCAGGAACCTGCCGCCAGCGGGGCCACTGCGGGGATGGCCCCGCTGCGTCTAACTCCAGACATTTCCTTTCAGATGGTGTCGATAGAACCTCGACGATCTAGAAGGAGGAGGCGTCCGCAGTGACGATGCTGGCCATGAGAGACGTGGGCTGCTGGACCAGTGGCAACCTGGGTGACAAATCCCTGAACGCACGAAGGATCCCCAGAGATACTTTGCAGCCGTTTCATTGCTGTTTTCTTCTTTCCTTCCCTTTCTGTCTCCCCTCTCTTGTCCAGCTCTGTTTTCATTTTGGGAAAGGCTCGCCGGTCCTCACCGGTGCATCACCCGGGTTAGAACTCGGGGTCATTTTGCACACAAGGACAGACGAAACGTGGCACGAAGCAAGAGAGATCGGAGAGCTCGATGCACCTAAGGGCAGGCATCCCGGTAGCGTGGAAGCGCGTCTAAGGGCAGGTATCTTAGTTAGTGGCGAGGTAATAAATGGGCCCGAAGTCTCCAGCAGGGCAGTGGACAAGGAGCCTTCTCAAGGAGGAACAAGACTTGGAAGCATACTGCCGACGGGCGTGCGGGAAGAGGCGCGGCGTGCTGGCCTCCGAGGCACTGGCTGCGTTTCGCCGACACAGCCCTCAGCGCGAGAGGCCGTTCGCCTGTTGGACGGGGTGGGCAAGCAGAGAACGAGAGGAAAGGCCCCCCCGTCTCCCCTCGACGACATTCGAAAGAGCAGCTTTGACTTTTGTGCGTTGTTTACAGGACGTTGGGTCTGAAGGAGCCCGTCAGATCTGCGGAGCGCTCCATTCCCCTTCTCTTCCTGAAGCGGTACCTGTGCGAGCGGGGCAGGGCGGGGCGGGGCAGCCCGAGCCCCACACCTGCCCCGTGGGATGCCCCCATCCCGGCTGCCCTGTTCCCTCGTGCGATTGTACTTACTTGCATGTGCCAGCGAAATAGCTTGTCAGGCGCAACAGCCGGGACAAGAGCGATGCGAGGAGACGCAAAATAACCGGCGCGGGTGCACGGGGGGGTGGGGCAGCGTGAGGCCTCTGGTCTACCCCAGGGGAGGTTTACTGCCACCTGTGAGGACCCGGGGCTCGGACACGTGTCCTGCTCATCTTGCTGCTGCAACCAGTCCTTTGCATGGCATCTGTGCGTGCGTGCGTGCGTGCGCGTACAATTTTTATTTTGTGTTTGTTGCCCCGGCAGCAGAGCAGAGCTGCTGCTCCGAGAGGGTGGAAGGCCCTTGGGACTTGTCTCAACTTTTCTGGAAGGGCTGGAGCAGGATGCCAGAAGCTGGGGAGAGGCGGCGGCAGGGGGCTTTCTAGTCCTTCGCGTGTGAGAGAGAGAATTTTGCGGCTGCCGTGTGTGGAGTCAGGCCCAGCCCAGGAGTAGAAAACGCTCTGAAGTGGCTTCTCCAGGCGAGCCCCCTTTGGGCCCTTCCCCCTTCTCAGTTCGGTACCGTAACATGCAACCACACACCTGGGGCAGTGAGCAACACCCCCGCACCGAAAGCCCCTCTCCGTACCCAGTTTTCCCTGTGGAGCTTCGTGCGTAGTGTTAGGAAAGGCCAGAGGGACACGCTGGCCGGAACTTCCAGGACTTGGATAGAAGCCGTAATTCACAGAGCAGGGGCCCGCCGTACCCACATGGTCCAGTTCCGGTCGACGTCCAAGCGGCCAGGAGTGGGTCGGTCGGCAGGGGGGCAGAGCGCTCAGGCCATCCAGGGCTTTCCGGCCACCTTGCGGGGAGCTGTGGATCTTCCTGATCTTGTGGGGTCCCTCGAGAGCCGTGTGTTGGTGTCACACGGTTCGCAGGGGTTGCATCTGTTGGATTGGAACATCCGGTTGCCCCCCGGGGGACGTGCTTTGAGCCCCCTAATTTCAGGGGCCCGTGGAGCCACGCCCCACTTGCCCTGGGGGCAGGAGGGCTGCGGGGGCAGGTGCCGGCCGGGGCACGTCACTCGCTCTTCCCGGATGACTGCGGAGCCACAGCCCCCTCGCCTGGTTCCCTGGGAGGAGCGCGTTCCTTCCACTGGGCAGGTCCCTGGGACTCGGGGCCCGACTTCCACCCTAGCCGGCTGGGCGTTTGCAAGCTGCAAGCTCGGTTTGCAGGCCGGGAGAAGAGCTCTCCTGCTCCGGGAAGGGACGGGAGGCGCGCTGCCAGCGGAGAGCTGGACGTGCCCTTCCTGTGCCGAAGGGCCACGCGGGAGGGAAGGGTAAACAGAGGCGCGTGAGTCAGCACCGCTGCCTCTAAATCGGGCGCTTGTTCTGTGGCGTGTTTTTGCTGGAAGGGGGACACTGCCGCCTTTCTGCACGCCTGGCCAGCGGGGGGCGGGGGGGCGGCCGGCTCCCGGGTGTGCCTGCGTGCAGGTGGCTTGCGGAAGGCAGCGCTGGCAGCGTGTGCCGGCGGGTGTCGGTTTCCCGCAGCCGCCCCCGTCGGGCCGGACCGGGTTCAGTCTGCGAGCTCAGACGGATCTGGGAAAGGAAGGAGAGCTGAGAAGCAGAGGCCTGCGCACGGAGCGAGCCGTGCCGCCTGAGCTCGGCCTGGAGGAGAGGTGCCGCCTCCGAGGCCGTCTCTGGTGGCTGCTTGGAAGGCTCTGGAAAGGGCAGCCGGGAGGGGGAGAGCCCCTTTGCCCCCCGCAGTGGGTTGCTGGAGGAAAGGCGTGTTTGCAGGGTCACCAGCGCCGCGGTGCCTGCCATCATCTCCCCATAGCCCTTGCCAGTGGGTCCTGCTGCCCCCTACAGGGAGAAACCGCTCCAGAGGAAAATGGCTCGAGGCAGGCGTGGGTGGGTGCAGCCCATCACACGAGTGTCTTGGCAATCCATGAGACTAAGGGCTCATTTCGCTGACGCCCCATTCAGGGTCCCTGCACCATGTCTCCTTGCTCTGCTCCTTCCGCAGAGCGGGTCTTCTCGGTCCATCAGACCGACCGCCGGTGTGTGTCTCGGCCCGTCGTCTTCCGTTCCTGCCCTGACTTTTTCAGTGGAAGAAAAATGCCCAAATGTCTCCCCGGGGCACCTTCTCAGCTCTTGGTCCTGCTGCAGTGCCAGGCTGGTTTGAAACCAGTTTTCCCATCAAGGCTTCTCCCCACAAAACCTTGGGAATTGGAGGCGGGTGTCCTGCATGCCACCCACCCTCCATTTAGGCTGCGGTGCGTGTGATTTTTGGCAATGCACAGCAGCAAAACAAAGCAAATGCAGTTTCACTTCAAATCTTGGTGCACCCGTCTGGTTCCGGCAAGGGGAGGCGGGGAGACTGCCCCCGGACCACCCAGAGTTGCCCAGACCTGCTTGGAAAAGTAGTTTTGTAAAGAGGCAGAGGATTTCATGCAATGGAACCCAAAGCAGAGATTCATAATCGGTCCGAATCATGCCTCGCCTCACCTTCCGAGTCCGAGCTGCCCTGGTTAATGTCCTCAGCTCCGTTGCAGAGCAAAACTTGCCCGGGCCTGCGGGTCGGAAGCCGTGACGGTTCGGCCAGCATGAACGTGGCTTAAAGACGGAGCATGGATGTGCAAGGAATCCGGGGGAAACTCCCCCCAGAAGCACCTGCAGTGCAAGCAAAGTGTTCTTTGTTTTATTTCGTTTTTCTTTTTTTGCATCAGCGTAGCCATAACCCTGTTCGGCCGGGGAAATTAAACTCCTTGGCACCTAGACAGTGTCGACCTAGTGCCAAACCTTTGCTGTGATTTAGTTTTTAATAGGTGGAGTGGAGGGAGGAGGAAACACGGACTGTCCCCCAGAATCTGCAGCCATCTCGGAAGACTGTCCGGCAAGGGCCGGCCATGGGGCCCGGGCCCTGCCGCGCCACGGACGAAATCCGCAGTGGCACGGGTCGGGCAGCAAGTCTCTGCGGAAGGGTGAAAAGGGCCGCGGAAGCTCGAGAACAAATTCCACGCGTCCTTTTCACCCCCCAGGTGATGCTGAAGTGTGTCGAAGCGCAGCTCACGGGGAGCTCCGGGGTGGGGCGAAAGTGCCCCCGGGACCCACCAAGGTGGCCCACCCTTGCCGTAGACAAAGGAGAGATTTGTAAATGCGTTCGAGATGCAGTATTGTAAAGACGCAGAATTTATTTTATACGTTTTAACATGAAGTGCCAAAATACCATTTTTATTTCTTGGTTTATGTTTACCAGAATGCGTGGTTGTGGTGAAAGAAAACGTTCTATTCTGAGAGCAGTAAAGAAGGAAGATTGTCATGATAGAAGGAGTTGTGGAAAGTGATTTTTCAGGCACTTGGGAAGGTCCTGCCGGCTGCCGCGCAGGATCCGTTGCGGTGGAGGCCCGCCGGGCGGTTGCGACCGCAGCTCTCGTGGGGAAAGCGGGACACAGACAGAAGCCGAGAGAGAGGCAGTTCTAGAGAGGTCTAGAAACCCGTAGCATCACTTGTTTGGGAATCCTAATGGGGAGGGCAGAGTAAGAAAAGGGGACAATCCTCACAAGTATTTACAAAACTAAAACATGTATTTATTCCTTTGCTGAATATAGAAAACAGAGGTTATCTGATTATTAAGATATATTATTTTGGATAAATATATGACTTATAACTTGCTATGGCTGGTAACCATGATAAAATCCCTGATATTAACAACCATATACTTCGTTTTCTTTTGTTTTCCCCTTTCCTGTAAGAGAGCTTCTTTCCGATCAGCAGTGTGCAGCAGTGTGTAGCTCCATTGTTGTCTTGAGTTGTGTGTGGTTGTTTTCTGATTCTTGTGTAATCAAAAAGGGGCTTCAGGTACTTTGTGAAGCCCACTCAAGTTCCCTCTTAAGTCCTGTATTGACTGCAGGTAAAGAACACCGATTTCAGAAGAAAACAATGAAGATGAAAAGAAAAAAACACCAGATGTATCTAAAGAAAAAATAAATCTATTTATAACAAGGTTGCATGCAAAAGGGCCATGGAAGTCAAAATGTTTAGTATTTAAAAAAAAAGTGGCAGTGCCTTTCCATTTTGTATTTACCCATTTTTCGCCAAATGCAACTGTTTTATAATACGCAATTATATGATAGTGTCAGAAATTGCAAAATATTTCACTACATAGAAACGTGTGGAGTTCTATTTTTTTCTTTCTTGCTCTCATGACCTGAGTGCATGTGCTGCGATCTCGGCCGCCCGGCCAGAGACACCTTTTACTATGCGATGGTCACATATGGAATTTATATTGGTGCTTTTCCTTTCTAGTGGTTTATGACGATTGTTGAATGGAAAAATGCAAACGGATTTGTGTTAGTAGGATGAGGGCTGTGGGGGGGGGGGGGGGAGGGGAGACATTCTGTGTGTGTTTTGACACAGCTGTTGCGTTCATTTGGGGGCACGCCTTGGCAAAGCTGGGGGACGACACAGCAAGAAAGCGGTGGGCTTCAGGGGAATTTGCACTGTGATGCCTTCGGCACTGCAACACGGACCAGTCCAGCGCTTCCGAGTGTCCCTGGTGTCGCACACTGGGGAAGCACGCGGCGTGGATCACGCCACCCGCTTTGGCTGGACGGGCACCCGTGCCGTGCAGAGGGCGATCCAGCCGGGCAGCCAGTGGGGGTGTTCCACGAGGGGCCCGTTTCTCCCCATCGCCACCGTTCCCGTCCAGCCAGCCTCACCCAGCGGCTCCGCACTGCTCAGACGGCCCGTCTTGCCCACCGGAGCTCCCCCCGTGGAAGGGATGCCCTCCCTGGGTCTCGTCCTCATTCGGGCCCCTCAGGGCCTGGGGTTCCTCCATGGGGGGCGCCTTCGGAGGCCCGCCAGGGGAACCCAGCATGCCATGGCCCCGCAGGCAGGCCGGTGGGCTCCGAGCTGCGCACGGTCAAGGTGCCCACGGCGGCCACCTGCCCACAAACCATTTGCTTTGATCACAGCGGCCCTCGCAAAAACCCCCTTGAGACCCCCCGATCCCGGGCCTCGGCAGTGCCTTTTCTCCCCTCTTCTCCCGGTGGGGCCCAGAAGGAATGATACGGAGGAAAACAAGCCTTTCTTTTGAGGTGTCATTCGCTGTCCCCAGGCACAAAGAGCCCCTGCGGCTGCCCAAAGCCCGGAGGGCGCCCACCCAGCTCCAGCTGTGCTCGTGGGATCTCCGAGGGAGGGAGGGAGGGAGGTGGTGCCCCAGCCAGTGCCGGCCCAGCTCCCTGAACTGCTCTGCGCATGGAGCTTGCACCTGTAGGCCACCCCATTGAGGAAGGGATGACAGAGTTGTCATCCTTCGCACCTGGAAGGCTTGGAGACGCCCGGCAACAGGACTTCGTTCCGCTCCAGCCGCGAAGCACCACGGCCACCTCCTAATCTGCCCTTAAGCATATCCCTCGTCAGCGTCCTCTCTCCGTCGGTTCCGCAGGGCTTCGTTAGGTGTTCCCTTCCTGGTGTCCTTTTGTTAAACGCGTCCCAAGACGCATCCGAGCCAAGGCACCGTGGTGCCTGGGCACAGCCTGTCTTTGTGCTAAACCCTGCAGAGGGGAGAGAGTTTTCTGTGCTGGCGCCTCGCCTCTCGGGACATCGAGTCCGGCTGACCAGCAGGGCCCCTCCCGCCCCCCCAAGTCTCTTTTGAAGAAGTAGTAGAAAGAGTAGAACTTGTAGGGAAGTCTTATTTGCACACAGCAATGATAACACTGAAGTTGATTTTATACAAGTCATTAAGAGTTTGCAAAGTGAGTTTTATTTTTTGTATTCCTTTAATCTTTACTTAAAAGGTGAATGTGAATTCCTCTGGGAGGAATTGCAAGAAAACAGGAATGTTAATAAATGTTTAAAAACGAAACAAAAAACCACAACAGAATATTTCCTCCCTTATTAATATATAACCCTTACGTATTTATGCCTACTGTAAGCAAATGAAAAGGCTTGGCGGTCCTTTTCCGTTGCATGCCAGCTGTCGGCAAAAGCGAAAAAGCCCTCTGTTAGTGCATGCATGCATATTAGTCTGGATCTCTTTTCTTTTCTCTTGGGTTGGGGGGAAGAGTGTATTTCCCCCGTATGAAATTAGTGCACAAAGAAATATTTTTGCCTAGTTAATGTTGCCAAGCAATGCATATTTTTTAAAAAGGAAATTTGTCATATATGGGCATCGCATGTTTGCTTACATGAATCGGCTTCATTACGCGGGAGGAGGGGACACGACCGTTCGGGGTTGCTGTGATTTCTTTGTATAGTTTTCAAATTGTTGTTATTACTGGTGAAGCACCCTTGTGATTTCAACTTGCTACAAAATTTATTATTCATTTTCCTCCCATGTAACTAGGAATCATGACTATGTTTCATATCAGCGTTATATTGAAAGTGAAGGGAGATGATTAATACAAGATTTTGTAACAACGGGGAGTGCTGGCTCATTATTTGGGTGCCTTGTCCTGGTGTGGGGCACAGAAGGGTGGTTTTCTGAAAGGGAGGAAAGCTTTCCCATCCTGTGCGTCGTCACGAGTCCCTCTGAAATGAGCAGGGCGTTTGCAAGATCCTCCTCTGCCTTGTAACTTCTTGGCCATTCACCAGCTGTACTAGACGCCCGTCAAAATAGGGCGTAAACGTAGGCAAGCGTGATCTGGCAAAAGGTGCCACTGGCACCGGAAGGTGGAGAAAGGTGGGAATGGGGAGCAATTTGCAATTTATTCCTGGTTGACATGAATTCTGCGTGCCCAAAGGAGCCTGGAGGTGGGACGATACTCCAGCTGTGCCTTCTTGCTCATTTCTCCTCAGCATCCCCCAGTTCTCTGAATGCTGCCTTCAGGGGAGCAACGAAGAGTCAAGAGTAGATCCTTTTAACAAGTGTGCTTTTACTGTAAGCCTCAGCAAACACAACCATTAAAATAACAAGTCTGTAAAAGAAGTCTGTGCATATAGGTTGCGTTTAATTAACATACATTAACTATACGCAACCTTCAACTAAGTGGCCATGTCATGAGCGGAGCCGGCTGCAGCCGGGGGTCAGACTAGATGGCCCGGGACACCCCTTCTGACTCACTCTGTTTCTGTGTTTCTAAAGGTGGACCAAATATCCACATCTCCATGCAAAGTGTCATGGCTGTATGCCGTCCATTCAAATGTTGAAAGCATCACTTGGTTTTCAGTCCATTGCGTTCTAGGATGTGAGCATTTACCCTTCCAGTGGTGTACTGGAAACTTTCAAAAGGCTCTGGAAAGCCCTTTTACTCTGGCCACATGTTAACTCTCAGGGAGTAGGCAACGATTTCAAAAGTGTGCATCAGTAAACATTTTTCATGTGTTCCAGTGCAAAATTTATCCATACTGTAACCTTCCAAAAAGTGGCCACTACTGAATGTTGCCAAAACACATGCTTAAAGAAGCAGCTTTATTAGCAGATCACTGACTTAAAGGTAAAGGTTTCCCCTTGACGTGAAGTCCAGTCATGCCTGACTCTCGGGGGCGGTGCTCATCTCCATTTCCTGGCCGAGGGAGCCAGAGTTTGTCCGCAGACAGTCTCCGTGGGCATGTGGCCGGCATGACTAAACACCGAAGTGCACGGAGCGCTGTTACCTGCCCACCGAAGTGATACCTTTTCATCTCCTTGCATTTGCATGCTTTCAAACTGCAAGGCTGGCAGGAGCTGGGACGGAGCAACGGGAACTCACCCCGTTGTGCAGGTTTGAACCGGCAACCTTTCGATCAACCAGCCCGGCAGCCCAGCGGTTTAAACCACTGCGCCACCTGCAGTCCCTTGATCACTGACTTCGGGAACCCCTATTAAAAGCAGGTGTTTTAGTTGAAGATGCAGCCCGAGATCTATTGAAGTTTCAGACAGAGACACAAAGTGTTTAAAGTGGCAATTGGTTAATTATATAGAATAAGAGAGTGCAATTTCCTGTTCTGTTCCTGCTTAAGACCTGGGTATCATTTATTCACGGAGAGTGTTTGTAAGCATGGATTGTGCAGTGAGATAGCAGCTTCACTTCAGTATTTCCAGTAGCAGATGATACCAAAATCTGTCATTGCTGTGGGGCCAAACCTGTGTTGCCCTTCACAATCGTTTCCATTTCAGGTATGGCTATTCAGCCCTAGCAGGCAAATTCTGTTTGGCACACAAGTCCAAAAATGGGGAAAACAACTTTGTCATCAACCGCCCACGAATGGATCCAAAGTTCAAAAAATCAACTTCTCCATCAAAGTCAGTTACCAAAAACCAGTTTCTTACCCATTTTTAAGTCTGGATTTCACCACAAAGTCAATGTAGTATGTGCAAAATATAAATGACCCAAAATTATCCACCCCACGGTGCTGAGTTGGTTACGGGGGATTGGAATAACCTAAGCACATGCTCAGTTTTTCCTCCCTGTGTTTGCACGGAAATCTTGCTCAGTCGCCCATGTGGCTAAACTAACTTGTTTTGGGCCACGGACCCCAGTCAGAGGCAGTCTTGAGGAATGTTCGCGGGTTGGTTTGCCTGAGCGTTTCTACGGGGGCAGCCACACCAAATGCAGGCAAAACATCTCCTGCTTTCCAGAAGTGGCATTTCCCACTGATGTAACTGCTGTTTGGATTCTGACAAGCCGTGTGCTAAATCCATGAGTAGTGTTGTTGTTGTTGTTGTTGTTGTTGTTGTTGTTATAACATTTCTATGCCGCCCCTTGCCGAAACCTCGGGGCGGCTTACAACACAATAAAATACATTGAAATACAATAGAACATAATAAATTACTATTAAATACAAAAATACAAAAAATACACTGAGTTACAAATATAAAATTAAAATTATCAGTATAAAATAAATAAATAAAAAATATAGGAGGAGAAAAGAGAAGGAAGAAGAAGTTGCCCTGGCCAGATCATATGTTTTAACAATTGAAATGATGTTTAAATAAAAAGGTCTTTACCTGGCGCCGGAAAACCAGTAACGACGGCGCCAGGCGGACCTCTCTCGGGAGCACATTCCATAGGTTGGGCACCACCGCAGAGAAAGCCCTCCTCCGAGTACTTACTCTCCTAATTTCTTTCATGGAGGGTTCCCGGAGAAGGGACTCTCCCACTTCAACACCTTGATGGAAAATGGGAGATCCAGGAGTGGATTTCCATGTTCCTGACCACAGCCGGAGCCCCACGAAAATTGGTTGCTTGTCAGTGAAGCCAAGGGAAGGGGCCGTTCCTTTGTCTTCAGGTGACTGTTGCATTGCGCATTTTTGCCCCCGTCTCCTGCTGCGGCTGCCATGCGCTCCTGGACGTGCTTACTCGGGAGCAGCTTCTTGGCGAGGGTTTAATGTGCAACTTGTCCGTTCCGCTGTGGCACCCCTGGCTGCGAGGCATTTCTCGCCCCTCTCTGCCGTGCAGGGGAGATGCGCAACCGAATTGAAAACACCGCACATGGGAAACAGCATGTCCCATAAGTGGGCCGGTTCCTTTGTTTTGCAAGGGGACTAAAGTGAATAAAGACACACTTCCTGGGTTAGCTTGGGAGCAGTTTACTATCACTCCGGATCAAGTCGCCTCTGAAGAGCCCCAGGAATTGCTCTCGCCACACCTGCTGACAGACCTGTTTTCCCTCCCTCACTTTGTCATGGCAAGCAGGCCTGGTAAATCTCTCCGTCCCATTCAAGGCAGCACATGGAGGGTCACCCGGTCAATGGTGCTGCGTGGTTTCCGCTCGCCGTGGCCTGCCTGGCATCCTGCAGAGACACAGAGAGAGAGGTGGGGGCACCAGAAGCAGGTCGCGCCCTGTATCTTGCCCAGCAATTCCAGGAAGTGCTGTTCCCTTCGGACTAGGAGTGGACCTTGGGCTCCTCGAAGGTATAGGAGATCCTGGCGAGTGGTGTCCCAGCAGCTCTTTCCTTCTCCAGGCCTCCTTCCCTCGGAGAAGCCAATGCCTGTGAGGAATGTCTTCAGTAGCCGGACACTGGGACGGCTGGGACGTTCAGACTCCCTGCCTGACCAGACAAGCTTGAGCTGCTGCTGCAGCTTGTGAGCTGCCTGGTTGAGGGTCCCGGGCCAAAGCTTGGAACTTGGCCAAAGCACCAAGTGTGACCTGGTGCTGTGGGCCCCCACCGAGACCCCCCTCTTGAGGACAGCCAGTTCCTGCTGGATTCCAACAACCTTCAGGCTTGGAAGAGCGACTGCTTTTGGAGGTAACCGGTCCGTGGACTGGATCCAGATCAAGTCGTACTTGAAGTTGACCCATTGACTTCCATGGGACTTTGGGTAGTCATAGCCACCCCAAGTCCTATAGAGTGCTGCAGCGTCTGGGAAACGGCATTAAGTGGCCATGTGTGTGACTTCCTTTGTGGAGCACACACAGCGCCTTTCTCTCCTAACCAGCACAGCTTTGTTCGAGGCGGCTCCTACCTTCACAACGGTTTAGCTCAACAAGTCTGCTTGCCACCCCGAACATGTGCAGATTTGCACGTCAGATAGTGCCAGGGGGAGTAAAAGGGGGCTTTTGCTTCTGTCCCCCCCCCCCCTGTGGCTGGGCACTTGGAGAGGGAGCCGCCAAGCTGTGGGGCTGGTCTTTGGCCCGGAGGACCTTGCCCAGTCGCTCGGATGGTCCCACGGCTTTCGGTGGGCCTTCCAATGCATGGCCGGGGCAAGATCTCCAGGACCACCAGCGTCCACCAGCCATAACGGAAGCCACGGCCAGCAAAGGCCTGAAGCGCCCCCACAAGGCTGAACTCTGGTGGTCACAGCAGGGCTCCCACGTGCTCCCCTGGGTCAGGGCAGTCGGCAAACAAGTCCTGCCCAAGAGGGGAGCTCCCACTCCATCCTGCACCCTCCTCCCCTAGCGCCCCATGAAGTCCTGGTCAGCCACGGACATGATCCACGCATCAGCTGAAGCAGCAGGGTGCCTTGGCGAAGGTCAGACCCTGCCGTGAGAGAAGGGCACTTTTCATTGGATGGAGCATCTCGGTGGGTTTCAGGAGGTTGGCCTTGACTGCCTCTTCTACCTCTGTCCCCATGTTCCTTCCCTAGATGGACTCTGTTAGCACGATCCAGGGCAGCCGGACCAGCTCCTCTGTGAGGAGCGACAACCGGGACTGCTGGGACGGTGCGACTGGGTGTCCTGCAACCGCAGGGGGTTGGACTCGGTGGCTTTCATGGCCCCTTCCAACTCGAGGAGCCTATGATTTTATGGTCAGCTTAGAAAAAGGCAAGCCGGGGGACACGAAAGTGATGTTTACATGGAGCAAGTGGAAAGCGGGACATTCCTCTCTTTCTCCCACAACCCTCGGACCTGGGTCACTCCATGGAGCTGATGGGCGGGAGGCTTAGGACAGAGCAAAGGAAGGACGCAGTGCGTAAAACTGTGGAATTTGTTGCCATGGGAAGTTTTGGTGGCTGCCGATGTGGACGGCTTTAAAAGGGGGCTGGAGAGATGGATGG